TGGTAGTAGTAGTAGTAATAGTAGTAGAAGAAGAAGTAGAAGTAGAAGTAGAAGTAGACGTACTAGTAGTAGTAGTAGTAGTAGTAGTAGTAGTAGTAGTAATACTAGTAGTAATAGCCGTAGTAGTAGTAGTAGTAGTAGTAGTAATAGTAGTAGTAGTAGTAGTAGTAGTAATAGTCGCACTCGTAGTCGTAGTCGTGAGAGTAGTGGTAGTAATAGTCGTGGCAGTGGTAGTGCTAGTGCTAGCAGGCGTAGTAGTAGTAGTGGTAGTAATAGTAGTAGTAGTAGTAATAGTAGTAGTAGTAGTAGCAGTCGTAGTAGTAGTAGTAGTAGTAGTAGTAGTAGTAGTCGTAGTAGTAGTAGTAGTAGTAGTAGTAGTAGTAATAGTAGTAGTAGTAGTAGTAGTAATGGTGGTAGTAGTAGTAGTGGTAGTAGTAGTGTTCTTGTTCGTGTTCGTGCTCGTGTTAGTAGTAGTAGTAGTAGTCGTAGCAACGGTAGTAGTAGAAGTAGTAGTAGTCGTAGTAGTAGTAGTAGAAGTAGCAGTAGTGGTAGTAGCAGTGGTAGTAGTAGTAGTAGTAGTAGTAGTAGTAGTAGTAGTCGTAGTAGTAATAGCAGTAGTAGCAATATTAGTAGTAGTGGTAGTAGTAGTAGTAGTAGTAGTACTAATAGTAGTAGTAGTAGTAGTAGTAGTAGTAGTAGTAGTAGTAGTAGTAGTAGAAGTAGAAGTAGAAGTAGTAGTAGTAGTAGTAGTAGTACTAGTAGTAGTAGTAGTAGTAGTAGTAGTCGTAGTCGTAGTCGTAGTCGTAGTCGTAGTAGTACTCGTAGTAGGAGTAGTAGTAGTAGTAATAATAGTAGTAGTAGTAGTAGTAGTAGTAGTAGTAGTAGTAGTAGTAGTAGTAGTAGTAGTAGTAGTAGTAGTAGTAGTAGTAGTAGTAGTAGTAGTAGTAGTAGTAGTAGTAGTAGTAGTAGTAGTAGTAGTAGTAGTAGTAGTAGTAGTAGTAGTAGTAGTAGTAGTAGTAGTAGTAGTAGTAGTAGTAGTAGTAGTAGTAGTAGTAGTAGTAGTAGTAGTAGTAGTAGTAGTAGTAGTAGTAGTAGTAGTAGTAGTAGTAGTAGTGGTAGGGGTAGTAGTAGTGGTAGTGATACAATAGTGCGTATATCTATACTCGTAGTAATCGTAGCAGGAGCAATACTCCTTATGGAATAGTGACCGTGGTAGTGCTAGTGGTAGGTAATAAGTGTGGTAATCGTAGTAGTGGTGGTAGTACAAGGGGAAAAAGGAAACGTATGGGGAGGAACGACAGGGGGAATTGGAGTAGCATTGGGGCGTGGGGTGTCTCCAGGGGAGCATGGAGTCACCCGGGCGCGTACCCAACCCTTTTTTTTAAGCATGTAGCGAACATGCATCCGATCGCTCAATACAACAGCAAACATTGAATGACCCGTAGTGCCCTTGAACGCTTCATCAAGAAAAGTCGGGCCAGAGCCAAGTGTTTCACATCTGCGGCGTCACTCTCAAGAGGCATGTCGTTGGCACGCGTGGAGACACGTGGAGGAGGTATGATTGGACACATAATTCGTGGGAGTAGCAACGCTCTGCGTTGTGTTCGCATTGCAGGACAGCGCTCTGCGCGCTATGACAGTACAGCGCCTTGCGCTAAACGTCGCATGTGCCCGCATGCGTTGCAAGCAACAAACAACTGCAGAAGGGATGCGGCATGGGCAACGCACAACGCCATGCGCTAGTCGCTGCGCGGCGCTCACACACGCCGCGTCACTCCGCTGGCCCCCCCAAAGCCCATCGCAACCCCCCAGGGGACGGCGAGGTCTCGTGGTGACCCGCGTATGACGTACTTCCGCTGGGCCTCCCAAACAAGCCAACGAAAGTGGCGCTAGTTTCGCAGATCGCAGCCCCTCACGGGACGGGGAGGTCTCAGGGGACGGCGGGGAATCGTGGTGATCTGCGTATGACGTACCTCCGCTGGGCCTCCCAAGCAGCCAACGAAAGTGGCGACAGCTTCGCAGATCGCAGCCCCCCAGGGGGCGGCGAGGTCTCGTGGTGATCCGCGTAGGACGCACATCCGCTCGGCCTCCCAGAAGCCCACGAAAGTGGCGCTAATCAGCCCCCCGAGGGACGGCAAGGTCAAGTGGTGATCCGCGTATGACGTACCTCCCCTGGGCCTTTCAGCAGCCCGCGTAAGTGGCGGCAATTTTGCAGATCGCAGCCCCCACGGGACGGCGAGGCCTCGTGGTGATCCGCGTACCACGTACCTCCGCTGGGCCTCCCAGAAGCCCACGGAAATCTGTACACTTTCTCAAATCGCACCCCCCCACGGGTCGGCGAGGTTTCGTGGAGATCCGCGTATGGCGTGCCTCCGCTGGGCCTCCCAGCAGCCCACGAAAATAGCGACAGTTTCGCAAGCCGCAGCCCCCAACGACTGGCGAGGTCTCGTGGTGATCTGCGTATGACGTACCTCCGCTGGGCCTCCCAAGAAGTCCACGAAAATGGCGAGAGTTTCGCAGGTCGCACCCCCCCAACAACGGCGAGGTTTCGTGGTGATCTGCGTATGACGTACCTCCGCTGGGTGTGCCAGAAACCCACGCGAGTGGCGACGGCTCCGCAGATCGCACCCCCCCAGGGACGGCGAGGTCTCGTGGTGATCCGCGTAGGACGCACATCCAGTGGGCCTCCCAGAAACACACGAAAGCGGCGACGGTTCCGCAAATCGCAGCCCCCCATGAGACGGCGAGGTCTCGTGGTGATCCGCGTATGACGTACCTCCGCTGGGCCTCCTAAAAGCCCATGACGGTGGCGACAATTTCGCCGGTCGCAGCCCTCTGGGAGACAGCGAAAGCTCGCGGTGATTCGCGTACCACGTACCTCCGCTGGGCATCACAAAAGCCAGCGGACATGGCGACAGTTTCGCAGATCGCAGCCCCCCAGGGGACGGCGAGGTCTCGTGGTGATCGGCGTATGGCGTACCTCCGCTGGGCCCCCCAGAAGCCCACGAAAGTTACAAGGAACCCACAAACGTCGCTACAATTCCACAGATCGCACCCCCCCAGAAAACGGCGAGGTTTCGTGGTGATCCGCGTCTGACGTACCTCCGCTGGGCCTTTCAGAAGCACACAAAAGTGGTGACAATGTCGCAGATCGCAGCCCCCCAAGAGACGGCGAGGTCTCGTGGTGATCCGCGTAGGACGCACATGCGCTGGGCCTCCCAGGAACACGAAAATGGCAACTGGCGACAATTTCGCAGGTCGCCCCCCCCCCCCCCCCCCCAAAAGCGGCCATGTCTCGTGGTGTGCGTATGACGTTCCTCCGCTTGGCCTCCCAGAAGCCAACGAAAGTGGCGACAGCTTCGCAGGTCGCAGCCTTACAAAATTCGGCGAGTTCTCGTGGTGATCTGCGTATGACGTACCTCCGCTGGGCCTCCCAAAAAGCCGATGAAAGTGGCGACAATTTTGCAGACCGCAGCCCCCCACGGGACGGCGAGGTCTCGTGGTGATCCGCGTACCACGTACCGCCGCTGGGTCTCCTAGAAGCCCACGAAAGTGGCGACAATCTCGCAGATCGCAGCCCCCCCCCGGGACCGGCGAGGTTTCGTGGAGATCCGCGTATGATGTACCTCCGCTAGGCCTCACAGAAGCCAATGGCAATGGCGACAAGCAGTTTCGCAGATCGCAGCCCCCAAACAACCGGCGAGGTCTCGCGGTGATCCGCGTATGACGTTACTCGGTGTGGTGTCGCAGGCGGGGAGCACGGCGTGCGGGCGGATCGGGATTTGAACAGAACTCTAAAAGGACCTTTCTTGCAGCGGGATGCTGTTCAGTACTGGGTGCTCTGTGGGAAGCGAAAGCTGAGGAGTATTGGATGTTGTGTTAGGGACGGAGGCCGGTGAGCACTGGGTGCGGTGTGTGCGTGTGTGTGTGTGTGTGCGTGTGTGTGTGTGTGTGTGTGTGTGTGTTGGAAACGGAAGTATGGCGGGCGGGCGGCGGGCGGGCGGCGGGCGGCAGGCGGGCGGCGGAACGGCGGCGGACGGGTCGGGATTCTAATTAAACTCCTCAAAGTTCCCTCTTGCAGCTTGCAGGGGGATGCCGCTCAATACTGGGTAGTGTGCGGAAGACGAAAGCTGTGGAGTACGGGGTGTTGTGTTGGAAACGGAAGCTGGTGAGTACTGGGCGTGGTGTCGAAGGTACGGCGGGCAGGCGGCGGGCTTTTAAACAAGACTTTCTAGAAGTCTAAAAGTGCACTCTTGCAGCGGGATGCCTTTCAATACTGGGAGTTGTGTGGGAGACGAAGGCTGTTTAGTACTGGGTATTCTGTTGGAGACGGAGGCTGGTGACTGCTGGGTGCGGTACCGAAGGCGGAAGCAAAAGCGGGCGGCGGGCGGGCGGGTGGCGGGCAGGCGGCGGGGCGGGCTGGTTAAGGTATCTATCGGACTCCTAAAGGATATCTCTTGCAGCAGGATGCGGTGCAATACTGGGTGGTGCGTTGAGAACGAAGGCTGTTGAGTATTTGGTTTTGTGTTGGAAGCGGAGGCTAGTGAGAACTGGATGTGGGATTGAAGGCGGAAGCGGGTCGGGCCGGCGGCGAGCGGGCGGGCGGAATGGAGCAAGCGTCTAGGAGGGCCTGACCTGGGCGAAACAAGCCCCGGGCGAAACAAACCCCGGGCGGAGCGAACCCTGGGCGAAGCGAAACCCGGGCGGAACGAAACTCTTCCGAAGCGAACACGGGCGAAACGAACCGGGGCGAAACGAACCGGGGCGAAGCAAACCAGTCGAAGCGATCGTGAGCGACGCGAACCCAGGCGAAGCGAAACCCGGGCGAAGCGAACTGGGCGAAGCGGACCAGGCGAAGCGAAACCCGGGCGAAGCGAAAATCTGCCGGAGAGAGGACCCCCCATCCTTCCTCCTCCGTCCTCCTCCTCCTCCTCCCGACTCTCCCCCCCTCCCCCCCTTTGAAGGGGGGGAGGGGGGAGAGAAGGAGGGGCAATGCGTCCTCACAGGGCGTACGGGTACATCTCGAACTTCTGGTAAGCGGGCGCCTGCGCCCCTCCCACATCCCCCCGCAGCACTCCGCCAGGGGGTGCCGCACCAAGCCTCGGGTCGGCTGGTGCCGTTCCTCCACCGTCATCGTCAGCAGCATCATCAGCAGCATCATCAGCGTCATCATCAGCGTCATCATCAGCGTCATCATCAGCGTCATCATCAGCGTCATCATCAGCGTCATCATCATCATCATCATCATCATCATCATCATCATCATCATCATCATCACCATCACCATCACCATCACCATCACCATCACCATCACCATCACCATCATCATCATCATCATCATCATCATCATCATCATCATCATCAGTATCAGCAGTATCATCATCAGAATCTTTATCATTTTCATCATCATCTTCATGCCCATTACCATCGCGGACCTTGACTCTGGGCTCTGAAGAGCCGAAACGCTGGTACCCCCAGCCTGGCGCGAGCTCGCGACTCTGACTCTGAGCTCGATGGGGGAATCAGATATCCCCTCGAACTCCAAGGGCCTTATAATAGAGAGGTTCGAGTCCATGCCCCTCCAAGGCCCGGGGCTCCACCCCAGGCCCAGTTGTCCTTGGCAGCCGCGCCTGCAACGAATGGCTGCTGGAGCAAGAACAAAAACATCCGACGTGGCGTCTGCAGGCTCTGACTTCGGGCTCTGCAGGGGGAGTCCCCCCCCCTTGGAGCTAGCTCTCGACTCTGACCCGTCGCGTCTTCTTTCTCACAGGCTCAAGCTAGTGCGCGCGTGAGCGGCGCAAGCAGTCGCCGCCGCGGGCATCACAAGCGGCGCCGCGGGGCGCTCGGCGCCGCCGCCGGGGCGACCCCGCGGGGGAGCGCGCCGGGCACGCCCCGCACTGGCCCAGCGGCGGGGGCGCTGCCGCAGCCGCCCGTCGGCCAGGGGTCCCGCGCGGCCTCGGCCTTGGCCTCGCCCTGGTCGTCCGTGCCAGGGTTGGGCAGATTCTGCAGCGGGAAGGCGCTCTGGTCCTCGGCACGTGCACACTAGCAGCACCTGGATCGTCTGCCATCCGTCCTCCTCCCCTCCCTCACCCTCCTCCTCCCCATGGCCCAGTATGGCGGGTGCTATCACGCGTGGCTCCGACGTGCGATGCCAATGTGGCTCCCATGCCACTGGGTACTTGAGAAGGATCTCCTCAGAGGATCCAGGTTGGGCCAGAACGTCACAGGATAGGCGAGCTTGCCAACGTCACAAGATAGGCGAGCTTGCCACGGGGGCCCGACAACAAATAATACAATCTGACGAAGATGATGCGCTGCGCCATCCGATTTCCCCTGGAACTCCAAGGCTCGGAGGAAAGAGTGGCGGACCTTGATTCTGGGCTCTGAAGAGGGAATACCTTGGTTCCCCCAGCCTGGCGCGAGCTCGCGACTCTGACTCTGAGCTCGATGGGGGAATCAGATATCCCCTCGAACTCCAAGGGCCTTATAATAGAGAGGCTCAGGTTAGCACAAAGTTAGAAGGCGCAAGCCAGGGAGCATGGACTCATGCCCCTCCAAGGCCCGGGGCTCTACCCCAGGCCCAGTTGTCCTTAGCAGCCGCGCCTGCAACGAAGGGCTGCTGGAACAAGAAAAAAACACCCGAAGTGGCGTCTGCAGGCTCTGACTTCGGGCTCTGCAGGGGGAGTCAATGGACGGGCCGATTCCAAAGCCGAGCTCGCGGACTGTAACCTTGACCTTGCCCCCCCCCTTGGAGCTAGCTCTCGACTCTGACCCGTCGCGTCTTCTTTCTCACAGGCTCAAGCTAGTACGCGCGTGAGCGGCGCAAGCAGTCGCCGCCGCGGGCATCACAAGCGGCGCCGCGGGGCGCTCGGCACCGCCGCCGGGGTGCCCGGAGCGAGGGCGGCTCCCGCTGCGCCGCGGCCGCGCGGATCCCCCACAGGCGCCGCGGTGCCGCCGCCGGGGCGACCCCGCGGGGGAGCGCGCCGGGCACGCCCCGCACTGGCCCAGCGGCGGGGGCGCTGCCGCAGCCGCCCGTCGGCCAGGGGTCCCGCGCGGCCTCGGCCTTGGCCTCGCCCTGGTCGTCCGTGCCAGGGTTGGGCAGATTCTGCAGCGGGAAGGCGCTCTGGTCCTCGGCGTCGTCGTCGCTGTCGTGCTCCTCACTGGAAAGGCGCCGCCACTGGGGGGCCCGGAATAATCTGCCCCAGCACGTGTTCGCGAGTGTGACCCTCTCGGACTGCGCGTCCTCGAAGATCAATGGCGCCGCTGTAGACTCCGCCTGGCAAATTCCCTCGAGCCTGTGGTCTGTGCGCTCCGATCGGCGCTCGCACGTGGACGACATGTTGCGTCACAACAAACCGTAGGCACGCCCCTGAAAAAAATCAGTGATCAACAATAAATTGAACACTATTCGCGCTTGAGCTCTGAACCAACACGGCTGCGGAGGCGGAAGGCATCCCACATGACGACGTCGGAGTCTTCACACGTGAAAAGATGTGCGCAGAAAAAGAGATGTCGAACACGCGCTTGGCACTCATGCAACACTCAACCCGAGATTTCTCGCGGGCAGGCGACAATGGTGGGGCATCCAACACGAACCGCTGGATTCGTCAGACGTGAAACTGCGCGCGCGGAAGGGGCATCGAACATGCGTCTTGTACGCATACTGTTGGCACGTGTATCCACGAGCGTGAATGCGCAAGGGGGTATCTGGGGGCGCTGGAGCTTCACCGTTCAAAGCACGTGCGTGGAAGGAGGGTCGAGCGTGCCGCTAACACTCGCCAAACAGAGTATCCAATACGGGAGCGCCAGGCTTATCACAGCTGAAAATCTGTGCGCGGAGGATTGCGGTTGAAGATGTGCACGGCAAGCGTACATTTGGCATCTCCCCCTCCTCCTCCTCCTCCTCCTCCTCCTCCTCATCCTCCTCTTCCTCCTCCTCCTCGACCCCCCTGCTCCCCCTCCTCCTGCTCCTCCTCTGCCTCCTGATCCTCCTCCTGCTTCCCCTCCTCATCTTTCCCCTTCCTCCTCCTCCTCCCTCATCCGCCTCCTCCACCCCCCCAACTCCTCCTCCTCCGCCTCCTACCCCCCCCCCCGCTCGTTTCCATCTTCGTCGTCTTCAGGGTCGGCGGCACCCGCCGTGAGGCCTTTGCAAATATTAACGCGTATAGGCACCACCCGGGGGTATCCAACATGGGGGCGCATGTACGCGCCAAGGCAGTATACAACAGGGGTCGCCGGATTCTTCGCACGTAATAGATGTGTGCGGAAAAGGGTGTCGACCTCTGAACTTTCGTCTGCTACGCGTGCATTTGGCACGCGCCTCCTGGTGTGCACCATGATGGCGCAGGATGCTCCACACAAGAAAATACCGAATGGGCGATAGCCTACATGGGGGGTGGGGAAAAAGGGCGCTCAAGGGCCCCGTAGGGGTCTTTTTGGGCCGCGTGCATGTGGGTGTTCGCCTGGGTGCCCCAGCGTCCCGCCCCAGCGTCCCGGTACGTGCAGGGTGCGGGTGTCTGGGTGCCCGGGTGCCCTGATGGCCAGGTGCCTGGCCTGTTGGCCAGGCGCTGGGGCGCCTGCTGGCAAACAGGGATGCCGGGTGTACTGGAGGCCATATGCCGCTGCTCGCGCCACAGCGCTCAACTGCATGGATGGCCAGAAGTCTCTCTGGCGCTCCTGGAAGCTTTCGAAGATGCCCCTTGACGGCCCACGATGCCTTCCCGATGGCCCCAACACGGCTCAAACAAGAGGTGCTTGGCGTGCCCATGTATGAAATCGTCGTGACCTTTACAAGGCAGGAGTTCCCACCTTCGGGCCGTATTGCTGGCCCTCCGAAAGAATTCAATGAACAAAACATGCGCCTCCAAGACGGCCAGAATGGCGCAAGACGGCCCCAACACGGCCACAGATGGCCCAAAACGACAGCACATTGCTTACATCTCGCTTCCCTGACAACCGCGATGCGTCCTAAGATTACTTCCGAACTGCCCAGGAGGCCCGCATGCCCCAATGGGGGTTCAAGAGGTCCCTCGCAAGGAAGTGGATAGCAGAAGTACATGTTTTGCTTTGAACTTGTTGATGGTTTCGACGTCCCGCCTTTGCGGCATTAGCCGTCGCAGGTGGCCCAACAAGCCTCCGAAGGCGCTAGATGGCCCAAAAGCATCTTCGACGGCACTGAAGGAACTCCAAGTTGACCCAAGAGGGTTTCGGGAGGCCCCAAACAAAGCCAAACATGTCAAACTTATGTTCGCCACGGTGGATCCCAAACCGTAAATTATTGCACTGTGGATGCGCGAAGTATGTGGAGTAAACTGTATTGCCCAAGCTGCCTGGTGCAATCTCTGTTGTGCAAGATCTGTGGTGTAAGCTATGTGGTGCAAGCTTTGTGGTGCAAGCTATGTGGTGCATTCTATGTGGTGAAAATGATTTTAACAAACGAATTGACCGACCCCTATGCTATTGCACACATCCCACCCCCCACCCGCAACTTGGTTTGCAACACCCATGCGGTGGCGATTGCGATGCATGCTTGGCGTTGGCTGGTGCATCTCTGTGGCCGCGCCAGCCCTAGCACGTGCGCGCAGCGGCCAAATACTTTGGCGCGCGGCCGCAGTGGGCGCATTTTTCTGCGAGTCGGCGAATTGACCGGGCGCGGTATCATGGCAACGCCGACAACGGTAGACACGATGATGAGAGTAGCGATGCTGGTGGCGCTGTTGGCACCGACGAAGGCGCGGCGAATGCGGGCACCGATGCTGATCACGCCGACGACGATGACGGCGTCCTCGCGTCGGTGATGAAGTTTGTGGAAAGAGTTCGACATGCGCGCGCGGCCGGCGCGAGAGAATGGCCCGCATGGTTTTATTCGACACGGATCGTGCCCCCCCCAAATCGCGCGCAAGAGGGTGCGAATGATGTCGGCATGCGGCGCCAAAAGGCCCGCTTGGCAGAATCCGGTGCACATTTTGAAACAACAGCCGATGGTTGTCTTCAGAATTTGCCAGAGCGCGCCCGCGTTTTGTTTGTTCAGTTTTGTTTGTTTTGCTCCTGTCTTTTTTCCTATGATTGTTACGAGGCCGCATTTTTTTTTGTTTTTCTCTATCTCTCTCTCTGATTTTGGCATGCTCGAGCGACGACGCGCGCGTGTGCACAGTGCTTCATTTTTTGCACACGACTCTCGCGACGGAGCACGCGCAAGGGCGATCGAACGAAATCGACATGCGCGCTCGCGCGAAGCCCGGTTGGTAACATGTGCTGGAGATGTTGACCAATGGTTTTCTTGAGAATTCGTAAGAACGCGCGCACGTTTTTTTCGAACAAACCGGGCTGCGTAACCATATGTTTAAATTTGTTTTTGATACTCGATTTGAATTCCCTTCTGTTACATTTTTTATTTCTGCAAAGAGATTTCGGCATGCGCGCGCGACGACACGCGAGGGTGCACTTTGTCATACTTGTTGCAAAACGGTATTGGAAATGTATGACTTTTGATGAACGAATGTGCGCGCATCGTAGTTTTTTTTGCAAGAGTATGGCGAGGGGCTCGAACCCGGCTGGGCTGGAATGGTATGAGTTCATATTTCGGATGGACGATAGGGGCAGGAATCGCATGTAAATTGCAAAACAAAAAGTAATCCAATAAAGCCAGCGGGGTGGATCCGAATTCCCCACATCCAAAGTGGGGTTCTTGATTTTCTCTGAACACCCCGCGCAGGAGCTCAATTGCCGCCCCGCCCACTCACTCGCTCACAGTCTCAACATGATCGTCATCATTGTCATCATTGTCATCATCATCATCATCATCATCATCATCATCATCATCATCATCATCATCAGCATCAGCATCAGCATCAGCATCAGCATCAGCATCATCATCATCATCATCATCATCATCATCATCATCATCATCATCATCATCATCATCATCATATTCATCATCATCATCATCATCAGATTAATCTCAATCTTCTCTCACTCCCTCATTCACTGACCCACTTGCTCATCTCAGGCGGGAGCCTCGTCTGTGAGTGAACTGCGAGGAAGTCTCCGGCGAGAGCCCCCTCCCCATGGGGCCCGGAGTTCACGCTTGTCATCCGAACGGGCCATCAAGAACCTGTAGCTGTCGTCACTTTTGGGCTTCAGGGGCTCGAGTATGGAGGACGTATCAGACAGGAGCGCCCCCAGACGCCTAAGAGCTCCCAAAAGGGCCCCCAAAAGTCTCCGAGAAACCCCCCAGGATGCCCTGACAGGCCCCCATGTCTGCGGCGCGGGTTGGGTGGTGTGACTGCGTGTGTGCGTTTGAGTGTGCGCCCATAATGTCTGCGTCTGGAGAATAACCCCGAGCGACCCGGATCGGCGGCACTGGCCGAAGGCCACTACAATATCAGACAGGAGTCTCGTCTATGAGCGAATTGCGAAACAGTCTCAGGCGGGAACCTCCTCCCCATGGGGCCCGCAACTCATGTCTGCAATCCGAACGGCTTATCGGAAACTTGTAACTATTGTCATGTTTAGGCCCCTTCTGAGGCCTCAATATGAAAGGAAATATCAGGGGGTGCCTCGTCTGTGACTGAATTGCGAAACAGTTTCAGGCGGGAGCCCCCTCCCTATGGAACCCGCGTCTCATTTTTGCAATCAGAACGGTAATCGGAATCCTGTAACTGTCGTCACTGCTGGGCCCCTCTGAGGCCTGAATACGGAGAAAATATCAGGCGGCAACCTCGTCTGTGATTGAATTGTGGAGAAATCTCAAGCGGGGGCCTCCTTCCTATGGGGCCCGCGTGTCATGTATTTAATCCGAGCGGGTCATCGGACAACTGTAACTGTCGCCATTTCTGGGCCCCGTGAGGCCTGAATCTGGAAGAGGTATCAGGCAGGAACCCTCGTCAATGGGTGAATTGCGAGGAAGTCTCAGGCGGGAACCCCCTCCCTATGAGCCCGCAGCTTACGTTTGTAATCAGAGCGGGTTATCGGCAACCTGTAACAACCGCCATTTCTGGGCTCCTCAATCTTGAATACGGAAGAAGTGCCAGGCGGCATCCTCCTCTGTGAATGAATTGCAAGGGAGCTCCGTTGGTGGCCGCCCGGGGAGCTATTTGGCTTGTGGCCTCGTCGCATAATGCGAAGCGAAAGCCTTTGGCCTCGTCAGGTATGCGAGCCTCTGGCCGCGTACGATTCCTGTCTGATCAGCCAACGTCGGCGAAAGCCTCTGGCCTCAGGCCTGACTTCTCAGGCGGGGCCTCTGGCCTCGGCGAGGAGGGGGAAACAGAGGAAGAGGAGGAGGAGGAGGAGGAGGAGGCTGGAGGACGAGGAGGAAGAGGATGGGGGAGAAGGAGGAGG